TACATAATTATAACTACAAGTTATCTAATAGATCTGTAACAGTACTTGTTTCACTTAGTTCAGAAATATATTGAAAAAACATACTTACGTCAAATGAGTTGTCCATGGTTATCACTAGTAGAACTATAAGATACAGTAATCACATGAATGTTGAATTCAAAGTGATTGTAGACTGATTGACAGCTGTTTATATATTTATATGGATGATGTACCAGGTTGGACTGTGTATTGCAACTCAGAACTGACCTTTGTCACGTGTCCATGACCCATTCTATGTAGTGTTTCTTCTGAATATATAGCTTCATAATTTGAAAATATGTTTCAGAACATTATATTTGATATAATAATTTGATGTTAGTGTATAATGAAATCTCATACATTTCATACGTTTAAGTAGACTTGAATAGAACTTTCATTTGAACACCCCCTAGTGGCACAGCAGCATGTCTGTAGACTTGCAATGCTAGAATCCGGGTTTAGATAGCCCATTGTGTGGCTTTGTGCTTAATTACAAACAAATCAACAAAAAATCGTTTTGAAACATTTGTCCTGAAACTTATTTAACTGTTGACAATATGTAATAATTGTATGCTAATTGATTGATAAAATAGTCATTTACTGTTTTGTAATGCTATGTAGAGAACTAAGTTTGCTGACTTTTAAATTTCAGTAACATACAAAAATGTTAATTAAAGTATGGTGTACATTAGCTGTATGTAGAGTTTATTATTAAATATGTTGTGTATAGATAGATAGATATATTTATTATAATTGTTAATTACTGAAACTTACCGTCTAATTGAATACATTTAACTATTTGTAAAATGGACATTAATTTTATGTAGAGTTTATTTTAATTATTAAATATTATATATATATATGATTATTATAACCATGTTTTGTTAAGTATGTGGGATAGTATATGATTGATTTGTTTAATTCATGTTACCAAAAACTTTAAAATAATCTCTTGGTTTATAATTTAAGGTACTTATATACATTTGGAAAACTGAGTTTAAATGAAAGATAGTGAAATAGATGTCAAGAAATGAAAGTGTTTCTCATTAGATGAATACAAGAGACAGTGGTCTTGAATATCAAACACGTCAGACTGTTACCACCATCTCTTCTTGTGTTACCACCATCTCTTCTTGGGTCACCACCATCTCTTCTTGTATTACCACCATCTCTTCTTGGGTCACCACCATCTCTTCTTGTATTACCACCATCTCTTCTTGTGTTACCACCATCTCTTCTTGTGTTACCACCATCTCTTCTTGGGTTACCAGCATCTCTTCTTGTGTTACCACCATCTCTTCTTGTGTTACCACCATCTCTTCTTGTGTTACCACCATCTCTTCTTGGGTTACCACCATCTCTTCTTATATTACCACCACCTCTTCTTGTATTACCACCACCTCTTCTTGTATTACCACCACCTCTTCTTGTGTTACCACCATCTCTTCTTGTGTTGTGTTACCACCATCTCTTCTTGGGTTACCACTATCTCTTCTTGTGTTACCACCATCTCTTCTTGTGTTACCACCATCTCTTCTTGTGTTACCACCATCTCTTCTTGTGTTACCACCATCTCTTCTTGGGTCACCACCATCTCTTCTTGTGTCACCACCATCTCTTCTTGTGTCACCACCATCTCTTCTTGTGTTACCACCATCTCTTCTTGGGTCACCACCATCTCTTCTTGGGTTGTAGACGATAATGTCGTCAATATTTCCATTCTGGTTTTGTGTACTGTAGAACCACATGTGTGACCACATGGTGACCTTTGTAATTCTTAAAAGTGTCTTGGTCAGTCTCAAAGTTGTATGCAATTTGGTATTTTAAATAACAGTAAAGTTAAACAGTAAGTCGTTCATTTATTATATTTAGTTGTAGGATGATTAAAGTAAATTATTGGTTATAATAACTGTTTCATTCAAATAATATGTATGTTTTACTTGTGAAAATGAAAGAGTAAGGGTCATACAGGACATTGTCTGAAAGAAGCTATGAACAGTTTAGAAATGTATTCCATACTTTTACAAGATTTTTGTATCCAAAGAAGTTTGGAGGTGTGTTTGTCAGTGAGCAATTCCTAATAGCATTAGGCAGTCTCAAAGCTTTATGCAATTTTAATCTTCTACAGAAAATGGATTGATAAACAGTAAATCATTTATTTATTATTTTAGTTGTAGCAGATTGTATTAGTACAGACATTAAAATATACAAAATAATGGTTTTTAACATAATTAAATCTAGAAATTGATGATGTAATGACATGTTGAAGTATAGTAACACTGTCGCAGCATGTTTGTTAAAATCCTATGGAGAGTCATTAAAATAATGGTTATAATATAATTAAATATAGACATTGATCATATGTGAATGTGCAGTGTCCACCTTTGTAAAACATGAGATAAAATTATAAAAGTGTCATGTGTAAAATGAAATATTTTGTCAAGTTATAGCATAAAGTCAAATTCATAAAAGTGTAAGTTTGATTATTGCATAATTTTTAATAAACATTTTATTTATGAAGAAATTGCATGTTGAGACACATTGAAAAACATTGTGCTTTAGTACCATGGGCCAGGCATGGCCAGGTGGTTAGGGTGCTCGACTCGCAGTCTGAGGGTCGCGGGTTCGAATCCCCGTCACATCAAACATGCTCGCCCTTTCAGTCGTGGGGGCATTATAAAGTGATGGTCAATCCCACTATTCGTTGGTAAAAGAGTAGCCCAAGAGTTGGCGGTGGGTGGTGATGACTAGCTGCCTCCCCTCTAGTCTTAAACTGCTAAATTAGGGAAGGCTAGTGCAGACAGCCCTCGTGTAGCTTTGTGCGAAATTCAAAACAAATACTTTGGTACCATGATGTATATGTAGAACACCATTTACCTTTGTAAAACGTGCAAATGAATTATTTGGTCAAGTTATATTGGTAGCATAAAGTCAAACTAGTGTTAGTTTTAATTAATGCATAATATTTCATGATATAGTTCTTTTAAAACATATAAATGATAAGGAAATGTAATTAATAACTTAGGGATAAGCCTCCTTTTTAGGACGGTGTAAATGGTCATGAAAATTAATTAACTTATGAGTTAGGTTTATACCGACTGTATTAAATATAGTCATATTGAGACATATTATGCTGGTCCGTGGAACTATGACGTCATGGCCACCTGTCATGGTGGCCTAGCAACGCGTCCCTAACAACTTTCCCTCTGGTGACACTTCGTGAAACTATAATGTCATGGCTGCCTGTCATGGAGGCCTAACAACGCTCCCTCTGGCGACAATTCGTGGAACTATGACGTCTTTGGTGACATATCTCCCTCCCCTCCCCCCAACCAGTGCTTGGGTCTGAAGTGAGGCCCGAACTATTAAGAGATTAACGTTTTCTTTTTTCTTACATCTAACATTACATATTAAATGAAACCAAGAGATGGATATTCTTGAGGTATTAAAACATAAAAGAGACAAACATTCTTGGATAAGGTCCAGCATATGATTTGTAATAGACATTTGTTCTGTAATTCATATGGTGTACCCCACCGTTTCACTTATTATCAAGCTTGCTTTAGTTAATTATAAACTTTGTTATAACTCCAAACAGCATATCGTAGTATGTTTAGTGATGAAATGCTTTGTGTTTTTATTAATCAACGAATATACGAAACTTTGCTTTTAACCATAGATTTATTTGGTTAACTTTATGTCAGGTTATCATTTGATTGTTTATTGTACAGTTTTGTTGTTATTTTATCATTTGATTGATTACTATAAAGTTTTGTTGTCAATTTTTCATTTGATTGTTTATAAGGCTTTGTTGTTAATTTATCATTTGATTGTTTATAAGGCTTTGTTGTTAATTTATCATTTGATTGTTTATAAGGCTTTGTTGTTAATTTATCATTTGATTATTTATAAGGCTTTGTTGTTAATTTATCATTTGATTATTTATAAGGCTTTGTTGTTAATTTATCATTTGATTGTTTATTATAAGGCTTTGATGAATATTTTAACATGGAAGCTTTAGCTTTGCTTTGAACAGTCTTGCATTACATTTTGCGATTATCACATGGTGTTGGAACTTCCGAAAAAGAAACTTTTTTTACTGTTTGTGTTGGTTGTGTTCATTAAATCACACTAATTGAACCCTGTAAATGTTATTAAAAACACATTTCCCGTTTTCACTGAATTGAGGGACAGAATTGTTAACATGAAAAAACGAAATCTTTCTATCATCAAGGTATTCAACTGATAATAAAACACAAGACCAGGAAATATATTTATTTGTATTGCTTTTCACTTCATATTCAGTTATATTTAATTAAATTAGATGGCTTATATAACAAGTGGAACAAATAACTCAGCGCCAGTATTCATATTTCTCTGTTGGTGGTTTACCCTAATAATATGTCAGTCTGTTGAACATCACACCCAACTGAATAATTATGATGTATATGGTTATGATCGTAGTACACGCGTTTCTATGTTACTTAGAATTTGTTCCACAACAAACGCATTACAGAAAACACGTGACGTTCAGTTTGCCGTAGATTAAAGTCATTGAATTAATAAAAGTAAAAAGTTCATTTTATGTTATTGCTGTGAATTTGTATACAAAAGGCCTTTGGAGAAAAGATCTGTTTTGGATGTCTGTCTGTTTCGATCCTACACATTTGCACCTGCCTAGCGAAAAGCTCACCAATAACAACAGTAAACATTGTCACAAAATTAATTCAGTGTTGCACAAATGTACAGGTAATAAATAAACAAATGTATAGTTACAGCTATAGTGACTTTTTTTTTAACACTAACTTTATTCACGTTACTTAATTTGTCCTCTGAGCTACAGATCGGGTGAGCTTTGTTACTAGTTTGAATAGAAAATTGACTCAAACACTCAGCTGTTTGCGACGCACAAGGCTAGAGTAGTATAGACTCTTATACATATATAATACCCTGTTTGTGCAGCTGTATAAGAACATCCAACACAAGCGATACTGGGCGATTAATAGAAGCTTTGTGTAGTAAGCGCTGTTGTTAAGGGCTTACGTAAAAATATGGAATAAAAAAGTTGAGGGGAAGTAACTACATTTCCTATGCAATTAAAGTCATCTCTTACATTTTATGTTTACTATTTGTTATTTCCTAGATGTTGTGAACAATTTGTAAAAATATACATTGAAAAATTGGTGAAGCTCGAAGTTCCATATATTTTTTAATCATTTGCTTTTAAAACCATTATCCTAGTGTGATTCTATTTGAAAGTTAAAAGTTTAAGTGAGCTCCTTGTATTCAAGATAACAGTATGAACTTTATCTTAAGTGATACAAAGACAAACAACGTAGGAAGTATTTTAATCGAATTCTTATGCTAAGTGTCTCCAAAAAATGTTTGTCCCATCAAGAAGTGATCTACTTTACCTACATAGAAATGCTGAATCTGTCACATTGTTCTTTATTACAAAATTATTCCTAGTACAGGATATGAATTAGCTGGTTGGTTCTGCTTATGATTCTTATCCTAAAAATATTTCGTAGTGAACAACGGCCACTCAAAAACTTCTTTGTTGATTTGGTAATGTTATGTTTGTCTACATAAAAAACATTCTAAATAAAAACGAAAGAAATATCACGAGTGGAGTAAAATTAATCTTTTTTTATGAAAGAGTATTTGATCTGGAGGAGAAATGTTATTAAAAAAAGGCTATTAAGAATAAAAGTAACGTTTCATAGATTAGAAGTTGAAAATAACTGTGGGCGTGTAGAAAACACACACAAGAAAAAATACACGAAAAATGTAATCCCCTCTGAAAGCGAAATAACTTTGGAAAGTTGAAGAACCAATTGTGAGAAGCTTAATGAAAAATGGAACTACTTCGGAAAGTATGTAACCACCTTTGGAAAGTTAGAGGAACCAATTGTGAGAAGCTTAATGAAAAGTGGAACTACTTTGGAGGGTATGTAACCACCTTTGGAAAGTTAGAGGAACCAATTGTGAGAAGCTTAATGAAAAGTGGGACTACTTCGGAAGGTATGTAACCACCTTTGGAAAGTTAGAGGAACCAATTGTGAGAAGCTTAATGAAAAATGAAACTACTTCGGAATGTATGTAATCACCTTTGTAAAGTTGAGGAATCAATTGTGAGAAGATTAATGAAAAGTGGAACTACTTCGGAAGGTATGTAATCACCTTTGGAAAGTTGAGGAATCAATTGTGAGAAGCTTAATGAAAAGTGGAACTACTTCGGAAGGTATGTAACCACCTTTGGAAAGTTAGAGGAATCACTGCAAAAGTAAAACGGCTCGTACATTGGAAGGACTTTTGTGAAAAGTATAACTGTCCGAAAGTTGGAAGGAACTTTGTGAAAAGTAAAGCTGTCCAAAAGTTGGAAGAATAATTGTGAAAATTAAAACGGCCCAGAAGGTTGAAGGCACACTGTAAAAAGGAAAAGTGCTTTAGATAAGATCATCTATTCTAGTGAAAAGTGTACGAAATGTGAGCAAACATTGAATAGTTTGATGAAAAGTTGAAAGATCTCACAGAAAAAAATACCATAAAAAATTTGGAAAGATGGATTTCCTGTAAGATAGGTGATCTCCCCAGAATTACATCAGAAGATAGATTTCCTGAAAGATGTGTGAGCTCACCCAGAAACACATCAGAAGACGGATTTATTGAAAGGTAAGTGAACTCACCCAGAAACACACCAGAAGACGGATTTCCTGTAAAATTGACGAACTCCGCAGAATTTTCTCAGAAGATGGATTTCCTGAAAAAAGGGGGTGAGCCCACCCACAAACACATCAAAAGCTGGATTTATTGAAAGGTAAGTGAACTCACCCAGAAACATATCAGAAGACGGATTTTCTGAAAGGTAGGAGAGCTTAACAAAATTACATCAGGAGATGGATTTCCTGGAGAGAGAATGAGCTCCCAAAAATACATAAGAAGACGGATTTCCTGAAAAGTGGGTAAATTCCCAGAAACACATCAGAAGATAGATTTCCTATGAGGTGGGTGAGCTCGTCAGAATTACTTCAGAAGATGGGTTTCCTGAAAAATGGATGAACTCACTCAGAATGACATCAAAAAATTGATTTTCTTTAAAGTAGCGGAGCTGAAACCAGAATCAAAATAGAGAATGGATTTCTTGAAAGATGGGTGAGCTCACCCAGAACATATCGCAAGATGGATTTCTTCAAAGGTCTACCCAGAAACAACATAATACTTCATAAAGAATACTTTCACTAAAAAACTATAAACATAATTTAAAAATAGAAACATACTTTGTTTTAAATGACTCAAGAATGGCGGAACATTGAGAGCAAGTTTATTGGCGTAGGATAATAATTATTTTCTGAATACTTAACAAATTGTTTTATCTATCTCCTAGTAAAGGGTTAGTATGCGAACCCATATAAAAAAAAACATTACTTATCTTTAATATACCCCATCTTACACTAGGAGAGCTTTCCACTTGAGGATATTAAAAAACGGTCCCCATACTTCTGGTTAGAAAAGAATATGAATACAAATTCCAAATTTAATAGCCTTGTTTAATAGTCTCGGCTGTTCTGAAACACTTTCTAAAACAGGATAAAATTACATTTTGATCTAACATTGTTTCTTGTACACCGTTACAAAGAATACTTAAAACCATAGTGCGTGTAGATTGAAGTAGCTTGTGTGTCTCAAGTTTACTTTACCGGGTAGCAGCGGCTTTATGTTTTAACAGTACTTACTCAATCACTTGTTGTTTGTAACTTTATACATTCTCACCTATACATCTGTACATTCTCACTTATATCTCTGTACATACTTACAGATCCGCCGAGAGCTTCCACGAGGAAGGACACGGATATGCATGAACAAACTGAATGTCAACAAGGTGAAATTTGTGATGCCTTAATAGGATAATTTATTCAATCTTCGGCTAAAAGTTATTATTACATACCATCTTAACAGATTTATAATAATATCTGTATCCTACTAATATATTGCGTTTTGTTATAAATCTTACAGTTGGATATCATATTTTGAGGATTTGTAAGAGTAGTATGGATGTGTTAGTCGCTAGTTATATACATCAATATATGAATAATTATGAAACTTTAGGCTTATTTTATAACACAAGGCATGTTTAGTCAGTATTTTATTATGTATGTTTTTTATTCGTTGTCTACATAACAAGCAAAATGAATATATGTCCAAGTCACTATTAACATTTCAACAAGCTGCTCAGATGGAAATAGGCTAAAAGTTTTAAGGAATCAATGATTGATTCTATCACCATACATTTGACACTAACGCACAAGCACATTGCTGCCTAAAAGGAAGTCACAAAAGTCACTAATTAAAGAACTTTATTAAATAAATGAATAAAAATTATTAAAGAGTAAAAGAAAATGCTTATACAATGAGTTTAATGTTTGTTTAATACTGTGAATATACGAAAGCAATATTTAATTGCACTTAAACATTTCAATTATTTAATAGCAAAATAAGATAGAACTGGATTAATATGTATAGTTTTTTTCTATTTTAATACATGAGTGGGTTTATCATCATTAGGCCAGACAATTGTTTACTGTATGATTTTCATTGTTAGAAGTGTACTTTCTTTGCCTTCTGTCTGGCAAAATGATCAGTGATTCTTCTGAAATCCAAAGTACACACTAACTGGTTTCATTTGCAAGGGTTCTCAGATCTGTCAGTCGGTCTTAGTAAATGATGGAGCACAGATAAATTTTATCAGTTTCAGCTTGCTAAAAGATCTCTCTCCTTCTGCAACTGTGACTGAATTGTTCATAAAACACGATGGACTGCAAAAACATTTGGGAAAAGTAGATGTAGCTTGAACTTGTGTGTTGTTTTGAAAATCTAAAGGATTCAATGCAGTCATCACCAAAGTTAGCTTTGTAGATGGCCTTTAGATGTTTCATTTTTTCCACTAATTTCTTCTGACACATCAGATCTTTACTTGTGAACAAACTCCTTAGTTTTGAATATCGATCATTCTCTGATATATCTAGATATTGCCACAAAAAAAGAAAAGCATCTGATTAATATCATGGTTGCTCTATATTTTGTAGTGAGCCCAGCAATAACAGAATCTATGATCTTATATGTTTCATCTGAATTTTGTCTCATCTACAGGTTAATTTTTTTCACAAGTAGGCAAGGGTTCATCTTTATTTTCACCATGAAAATACCTGGGGTATGTTTTCCATTTTGCAAGCAGTTGTGGCAGAAGATTCATATTATTTGCCACGGATTTAGCTTCATTAAGAAGTGAGCTCTAATGTTCACGCAGTGTTTTTAAAGAAGTCAACAGACTTTCCATGTTGCTCATTTCATTATCGGTGGTAGCTTGCAATACTTGATTGTGGTGATCAAGATGACTCCAGCCATCAAGACGCAAGAAAATGACTGCACATATTCAGTTATACATTTGACTTCAGTTCTTATTTGTGATCTAAGATTGAGTTGAAGAATTTCTGATAGAGCATCTAGAATCCCAGAAAAATGAGATGCAAAAGTCTTGACACAATCCACCCCCGAAAGTCCATGAAGAGAACGGCCTATATTCTGGAGAAAAATGCTCCATCACTGTGGGCTACAACTAAATAAATTGTAAAGGTTTTCAACTATTCCGAAACAATATCTGAGTATCTCTGCAATTTTCTGCTGCTTGTGCTCGACAAAGATTGAGAATGTGACAAGCACTTGGTAAAAATTTAACCAGGGGATTAACTTTTAGTAATAGAGCTTGATCACCATTATACTAAGCCACTCATGTTAGACCATTTTATATCTCTGGGCTCTGCAATCCATTATTCATTATCAGATAAGCAATCAAGTATTAGATAAGAAATATCAGCTCCAATCTTCTTATTGTAATCAATAAATCTTAGAAACCTTTCTTGAGTGACAAAGGAAAAACGTTCCGATGGCATGGATACATACTTCAGGATAAAGGTTGTCTGTTCTCGGTAAGATGAATCAGGTGTTGCATCTACTATGACAACAAAGTATTTTGCTGCAAGTCTTTCCTTCAAAATACTTACATTCTGAGCACAGGTTGCTAAGATTTCATTCTGGGACTCACCTGAGAAGAAGTGAGCTTGAAGATGGTAACCTGCTCGCTGAGATTCTGCAATCTCTTTCTACAGGCTTCCTTAGAACTAGATCTTAATGACTGAAGAACTCAAGTATTCTTACAAAATTACCATTATCAGGCACACCAATCCTTTGTGATCATCCACGAAGAGCTAAACCTCTCTCCCCAAGAAAATGACAACATTTATAATAACTTCTCATCAAGACTCCAGTTGCATCACTCTCTATAGCTACAACTGCAAAAGGCTGGCCACTAACAACAGACCAGAAGAAACTTTATGATGGGCTCCCAGAGCATGAGAAAAGTGTTCATCATAAGAAATGCTATACTGAGTAGCATGAGTTTGAAGCAAACGCCCGTGTTTATTTGGACCTTGAGGAGAATATTCTTTCAAGAGCAGCCAAACGTAAGGATATCCTAACGAGGGACATGGAAAACAGTACAAAGCTTGCCTAATATTACTCCAAGCTAGCCAGTTACGTCTATTGTATTCATCATTTTGCTGCAAAAACTTTAGAAGAGAACTTGTAAAAACAATTATTCAGGGTGTTGTAGAGGCCCAGCTCTAACAGTTAGCTCAAGGTTTTCAGCTGATAAACTCCCATCAGTTAAAGTATCAACATAAATGCCACTGAGCTGCTGTGGCTTTTCAGGAACGTTTTTTGAAAGTGTACTGAAGTATCTGTGGAATACAAATACTAAGTATATACATAGTTAAAAGTTTTCAAGAAGTACACTATATTTTGTATAATGTATAGTATGAAGAAAGCAGCATATCGAAAATGCTATAAAAAAACGTTGGCACTATCTAGTGAATCACACTACCAAAGAAGGAAGATACAAGTTTGAGGCCCATTGCATGAGTTATATAAAGACACATTCTGCGTCTTGACCTAGAGGCGAGAAAATTCACGGCTACAGACTCCAGGGCTAGACAGATGTGGTATATTGAGATAAATCCCCAATTGTTTAGATAAAGCTCCTGATGAAATGAATCAATGTCACCAAAAACAATTTGTCGCTATACACCCTAAGTTAATTGTCTTAGATGATTTTGCCAAAGATATTAGGGATAGAAATAAGTTGTTTAAGGACCAATAACAAAGTGGATTTTGGTTACAGTGTGATGGAATAGTCCACTTGTTGATGGAAGATCCCACTTGTACCAATCAAGTTAAAAGAAATACCTTTAAAAGTAGATCTGCTAAACGTCTCGAATAATCGGAAAAACACTAAAATTCCCTTTCTCCGACTCAATATCTTAAGTTGCTCCAGGGAATTGTTCTGACTCCAGAAGGCGGAAGATGGCAGTAATCCAGAATCTACAAGAAGTTCGTCGCACAAACTCCTTGTAAGTATGTTATTTCTGTTCTAGTCTAACGGTGTTTCACTTAAGGTTCTATAATGTATAAAGAGAGAAAAGTGAAGAACAATAACTGTACTAAAGAAATATTAGGTTTGATAATGCTTATAGTGGAATTATTTAAATATATCTTAGAAGAATTGTTTATGCAGTTATAACGATTATGACCGAGAAAATTTCTTGTGTTCGCTTAGTTGATAAGTTAATTAATGTTATATCTATGTTATTGAACATAATAGAAGGTCTTAGTAACGAACATCAAAATCTTGAAAACAAAAATTCAATGACTTAGAGTTAGTGTTGTTGCAAGATAACTTTGAGAGTTTCGATATAGATGCTCAACAGTGTGTAAATAAAACACTATTTGATTTGTATACAGTCGTTTGTGTGTGTCCTTTATTCCACACGTAAACTTCCTCGAGTTGGTGACTTGTGTGTTCCGCTCGGGAAAGCACAACCTGAAATCCAATTAAATTCCTTTGTAACGAGTGTAACGTCGAACCCCACGGGCTGCCCACATGCCGGTTAAAGTTCCTCCAGTAGTGATTACATTTGGCTGTAGATAGTCACTTTGTTTTCTGTAACAGGATATGCTATGAGATTGTCATTTGTGTTTGTATCATTTGAAATTTCATCATGCTCAGTCGATTTATTCAAAGTAACAGCACTTCTTTCATGGTAATTACTGACATGAGACCCTGAATGGAAAACTTTGGGCTGATCTTCACTTTTCTTTTTAAAACCAACAATAGAAAGATTTTG